GGTCTGTCTCGGTCTCGGTCTGTCTCGGTCTCGGTCTGTCTCGGTCTGCCTCGGTCTCGGCCTCGGTACCATTGAGTCTCGTCACATTACGTAGTGATATAAGATTTCTTCACATAGATGAAAAATTTTCGGTGTGAATAGCCTACTAGACTTAAGAAGAGTTTCATTGCGAAATGCTTCTTTCGGCTCTATCTACCAGTTTGTAAAAACCGACAGCCCAACCAAGTTTAAGATTGTGTAAGTGTCGATCAAAATTTCCTTTTTTTTAGCTCTTAAACCAAGACTGTTTCGAATTTGGTCTATACTTAGACCTGATCGGTCTGTTCGATTGTACAAGAAGTTAGATTAAGCCGAGATGAACAGTTCACAATAAAACTTAGAGATACTTTCGTAGTTTCGATGCAGAGAAAAATATTCATCCTTGCATGCAACACCTCAATTTTACTAAATGCCAAAATGTTAGTCAGAATTAAAATTAATGTACATATCACTCTTTAGCAAAGGAAAGTGTGGTACCAGCTTTAGTCGTAACGTTTGGAACTCAACGTGTATCTCAAAAAGATTTAATCCTTCTCATTCTTATAAAATACAAGAGAGCAGAAAGATTTTTATGAAATCTAGTACATTTTTATTAACAATTTGTTGTACGTTGAAGCACTGTCTCAACTCTAAGTTACAGAATCTTCTACACCTATGACCAGGCAGTACAGAGTTCATCGATAATAATTCTTATAAGAGAGAGAAATATTTCATTTTACAATTTATTATCTAGGTATCTTTGTCAAAAAAAAAATATGAAAGAAAAAATTATCCATAAAAAAAACCAGCATGAGTACTAATTTGTTTGCTGTAAGAAAAAACACAAGTATGTAAGAAGTAATAATATAACATTAATATTATACAAGTTTTTCCTTTTATCATTTAGTTCATAAATCAGAAATTTTCTACACTTATAATAAAATAATACACAAGAATAAATCATATATACAATGAAAACTTATAAGAAAACGTAGAAGTTACGAAAATCACGTCGAGTCTTCTGTTGAAAACTACATGTTTTTTGTTACCTTATCCTTTAAAAAAACTAACTTACAAAAATTTTCAGATGTCAATCGATTTCGTTCTTTTCGTCCAAGATACGAAGCTATACTAAATGTTGATTCCGATGGAACTGATGTACTTGGAACAATTAGATGCTTTCGAGCTAAAATAGATAACAATTTGAGCTTTTGACCATGTAGATTCCAAAAAGCAAATGGATCATATTCTTTAGAATCTCCAATAATATCGTTGAATTCTTGCATAGCTAAAGAACGGTAAATTGATAATTCATCAGCAATTGATAAATCTTTGCCATCTTGAATAATACGAGATCGACGTTTACCAAGTGATGAAAGAAAACCTTGCAATAAGTTAGACTTTGACTTGGACTTACATGTTGTAGCAAAGCCAAAAACAATTGAATTAGGACTTGTTGATGATGCCATATATTCCGAATGCGACTTTTTAATTTCACGTTCAATTTTTGTCCGATCTACACGGTCCAATACACCAAAACCAAGAGGATCATAAAAAGCATAACGCTAAAATTGAAGAAGAATAACACGACATATTAATTGATCTCTTGCAATAGTCTACGAGAAATATCTCGTAAGACAAATAAAAACAATAATGGGTTGTAGTAGTTAACTATTTGTTTCTGCTTTTCGAAAAAAGAATCTATGTCATCAATCTAAAGCTCGACATTTGATATCAATCTTATTGGGCAGTATGCTCATGAAGAAATAAAGAAATAGTTTATACATTTTATTAGTTATAAATAGCAATTGATATGAGATTTGGATATAAAAATCAATTGCT